TGGGCATCCTTTTAAAAGTTGGTTGGGCAGCAGGCCTATTAGTTGAAGTAAAAATTTGAAATGTCAACTGTTTTGGTGCAATATTTGGAAAAATTTTGACAAATTTTCGTTTCTCTGTTGTTGAGCTGCTAGAATTAGACTGTGTACAGGAATTAGACAATTTTCGCTTCAACCTGTGGGCATGGAAAATGAGAGGCACAAAATGATTAGACTGAAAAGTCTCACCTGGTTGTACAGATCCTTCATGACAAAACAAAATATTAATAGCATCCAAACCTCTTTGGCTTAATAACCGGGGCTGAACAATACGATTAAATAACAATTTATATCTACTTTCACCAGAATTAGGATAAAAAGTATGAATTTTTCTACCTAAAACAGAAGATAGGCCCAAAATACAAAGAAAAGATGACCATTTCTGGTCATTACAATTTAAAATAGCCTCCTGTTTTACCAGTTCATCTGTTGTATATCCAGTGTCTAAACATTCTTTAGACACTGACAAAGGCAAAAGATTGTTTAAGCTTTGGGCAAAGTAATCACTGTGCTCACTTATAACAGACAAAAGCATGGGTGTTGAGCATAAAAGCAGCATGAATAAATAGCTCAAGCGATGTTAAAATTCGCAAAGTAGGGACCAATGCATTGTTACCTACCAGAACTAGGGAAGCTGAACTGTAGAGGCAATTGCCAGAAGCTTCAGATCTTAAAAAATATTCAGGAAAAGAAATTAATATTTTGTTTGGTAGATTGATTGCATTGTATGAATGAATTGCTGACTGTAGACAATGATATAGCCTAGCGAAATTGAGATTTAACCATTTTACACGTATATATAAATACTACAATACGATATATATAATTATAATATATTTACCTTATTGCAGTACAAGTCTTTCCGTCATGAGCGTGCTTTGGCACATATATTTCAGCTCCAAAATTTCGACACAGAGTATGGTCGGGGTCATAAATTCTATCTAACAGCTGCTCGTTAGTAAACATAGGTCGAACGTCGACCAATAAACGAGAATAAAGCTCATTAAGGCATTTTAAATCGTTTTGGCCAACGCAGACTGAGCAGTCTCGTATAAATTACCACAACACAATGAAGACATTATAAAATATCACAAAACCGTAAACTGAGCACAGAGGCTGTTCAGAAACAATACGAGTGTATGTTAATTTTCAATTGCCTAATTTGCCTAGCTCAACTATGCTTATCAACAGCAATGATTGGTTGGAATTGCTCAAGTTAGGCAAAAAAACCAATGAAAGCATACGGTTGCAAAAATTGCCCAATCAGAATACCTATACACGATGTCAAGTTAGGCAAATTCATCTTGTTTAGGCAAATTGCTAACAACCAATCAAATGGCTAGATCGCCTTCTTGACTTAGGCAAAATGGCTGCTTTGCCTAACGACACGGAGCTTTATAGATAATCATACGCATCTGGACTACGATTAATATCAAAATTACGTCATTTAATTGCACAACATTTCTAAACAAAAGTCAGATGATTTGACTGCGATAAAGTGCTATTCATAGTTTCATAATTCGATAAATTCGTATCGAATCTAAGTCGAAGTATATTTTGGTAATTTCACCATAGGCACTTGCCTATGGTGCCTACCCCTAGATCCGCCCCTGCATGTTAGCACTTCTGTGTACATATACGTAAGCGATGTAATATTACATAGAAAAAACATTTTACGACTACTACAAACGAATTAAAACTTACTCGATAAGGTCTTGAGACGATACATGCCCACACGAGGGTTTTACAAGATAATCATCACAGTGATCACATTTTTCTAAAAAATAAAATCGATGCCTCTGTTAAAGTTAATGCAAACACCCTAAGGAACAGAAAAAAGACTAACGGTACTTACTGAAGGTATAAAACGACGCTTATGGCGAAGCCATCCTTCTTCGATTGCATGTTTGGATATTGCATCTCCACAAAGGCTCTCTGTTTCGTAAGTGGTTGAGATACACTACACATGCGCTTGAGATGTGACCTTCGTTGCCATCTCGCAAATGTAAATTATAAATTACCATTGAATAGTATGATCTTGAATAATGTGGCGTGGGTAAGATCTGTGTAGTATCCTAGCTTTTAATTCTGTCCTTCTTAGATTTATAAACATTATTTATTTTAGTATGCGTTTGTTTTACTGGTTGCTAGAGATTGTATTAGGAGAATTTAAACGAAGAAGTTAGTGCAATCAACTGATAAAAGTGCAACGCGCGTTTGATATTGATATTGCAGCAATTGATACTATCTGCCTATAGTGGTATTGTAGTGATTATTACATGAAGTAATCATTACATGATTATTACACCCACCTTAGTAACCGCGCCTAGTTTTGAGATAATTATTTATAAAGAGACATTATGTAGTTTTTTATTTAGTGTTGAGTAAAGCCTTATTTTGAAAGGTTGTTCTTTGTGTATACTTGAAGCCAAACTTTTACTTCAATTTACTCAACACTACTCCTTATACCTATGGATAAAGTTTGGAGACCTGAACGGTTTGATGTTATTCCGAACGCCCAAGGCGCTGCAAAACGCTGGACGCACTGGCTCGCGACATTTGAGAACTTCATCGATGCAATACCGTCCATTCCTGATACCCGAATAAATAAACTACACATTCTGGCGAATTATGTCACCTCTGATGTTTATCAACTGTTCTGTGATACTGAAACCTACGATGAAGCCATCACTACGCTGAAAACCTTATATGTCAAGCCTCCGAACGAGATTTTTGCTCGGCATAAATTAGCAACACGGAAACAACAAGCTGGCGAAACCCTTGACGAATACCTACAAGAACTGAAACACCTAAGTAAAGACTACAATTTTCGTCAAGTCTCTGCTGCTCAATATCGGGATGAAGCAATTCGGGATGCTTTCATTAGTGGTCTATTGTCGGGAAGCATTCGACAACGTTTACTGGAGAATAAACAGTTGGATTTACAAACGGCAGTTGATCAAGCTCGAGCTTGGGATTTGGCACAAAAATCATCGGAGACATACAATTCGAATCCCTTCACAAGCGCTGCTGTTACGGCATCTAACGGACATGACGAAAATAATGAAGAAGGACTAAGCGAGAGGTATTTAGCCTCCACTTCACGTTCCGCTAAGTGCTTCTTTTGTGGTAATAAGCAACACCCCCGGTCATTATGCCCTGCGAAAGAAGCTATTTGTAATAAATGTAAAAAAAGAGGGCACTACCAAAGAGTTTGCCGTTCTTCAGCAGTAGTCTCTAATTTAACGCAATCAGCTCACATAACTCTAGCTGCAATGGGGGAGTCATTGCTAAGTTCATGTATTGACATTCGTTTAAAAGAAAGAACTGTTACAGCTCTGGTAGATTCAGGAAGTACTCATTGCTTCATACATCCTGATTTGGTTGAGCAACTTTCATTGACAGTTCATCAGACCAAAGAAAAGTTACGATGGCTACAAGTAATTATTCCACAAAAATGCAAGGATATTGTCTTAGTGATATCACGTTAAAAGGCCGGTTGTATTCTCAGGTTAAGCTATATATTCTGCCCAATCTGTGTACTCATGTTATTCTAGGGCAAACTTGGCGAGCCCAGCACGAAAGTGTCACTATCCAGTACGGGGGTTCTGCCCCTCCTTTGAAACTTTGCAGTTTAACAGCTTTGAACCTAGACCCCCCCCTTTTGTTCCAACATTTAACAGAGGGTTGTAAACCGATAGCTATTAAATCAAGGAAATATAGCCGAGAAGACAAAGAATTTATTACAACTGAAGTACAAAGGCTTCTAGATGAAGGTATAATTGAACCGAGTGAATCACCGTGGAGAGCACAAGTGGTCGTAACTAGAAACGATCGACAAAAAAAAAGATTAGTGATTGACTACTCGCAAACTATAAATAGATTCACACACCTGAATGCTTATCCTCTGCCTAGAATAGATGATATCGTCTCTAAAATCGCTCAGTACAAAGTTTTCAGCACCGTTGATTTGAAAAGTGCGTATCATCAAGTCCCAATTCAAAAAGAAGAAAAGAAATATACTGCTTTCGAAGCTAACCAGCGTTTGTACCAATTCCGTCGAGTACCATTTGGAGTAACGAATGGAGCAGCAGCTTTCAAAGAATGATGGACAACTTTATCGCTAAAGAATGTCTAGAAGACACGTTTGTGTATCTTGACAACATCACGATTTGTGGCCGGGACCAAGCCCAGCATGACATAAATCTCGAAAAGTTCCTTCAAGCAGCTAGAAAGCGAAATTTGACGTTTAATCAAGACAAATGCTCCTTCTCAACAACCAGTATTTGCATCCTCGGTAGTATAATCGCTAATGGAGAAATAAAGCCGGACCCGGCACGATTGAGACCTCTGCGAGAGTCACCTGTCCCCCGTGATTTAAAAGAACAGAAACGGATTGTGGGTCTCTTTTCTTACTATTCTCAATGGATCAAAGACTTTGCAGCAAAAGTAAGACCACTGACACAGAATACTGTATTCCCAATGGTAGGCAATGCTCTTACTTCATTTAATCTACTTAAGTCCGATGTCGAAAAATCTGTGGTCCAAGCTGTTGACGAAGCACAGCCCTTTCAGGTGGAAACAGACGCTTCCGAGTTTGCTCTTTCAGCCACTCTCAACCAAAACGGTCGCCCAGTTGCGTTCTTTTCGAGGATGTTAAGCGGATCAGAACTTAAGCACGCTTCAGTAGAGAAAGAAGCAGCGGCTATCGTAGAAGCCGTGAGGGAGTGGAGACACTACCTTACGGGTAAGCATTTTATGTTAATTACCGATCAGAAGTCAGTAGCTTACATGTTTGACACCAAGCAAAAGAGCAAAATTAAGAACGATAAGATAATGAGATGAAGGATGGAACTATCCACTTACGATTTTGATATAATCTACAGAGCAGGAGAAGAGAATGTACCAGCGGATACATTTTCTAGGATAAGAGCAATGAGCATGACCTCCGATAAGCTGATAGAGCTTCATGAATCCTTGTGTCACCCAGGAATAACGTAGATGGCACATTTTGTAAAAAACCGTAATCTCCCTTTCTCTATAGATGAAATTAAGCTCATGACACAGTCCTGCAAGATATGCAGGGAAAGTAAGCCTCAATATTACAAAACAGAAAATTTCCATTTAGTAAAAGCGACTCAACCCTTCGAGAGACTTAGTTTGGACTTCAAAGGACCATTGCCGACGACTAATCATAATAAGTTTCTTCTTACTATAATAGATGAATATTCAAGATTTCCTTTTGCTTTCGCTTGTAAAGACGTTAGCGCGGAGTCAATTATAAATTGTCTCTGCTAATTGTTTTCGATTTTCGGTATGCCTGCTTACATACATTCGGATAGAGGTTCTGGCTTTATGAGTGCAAAAGTTAAAGACTTTCTCCTCCAGAAAGGAATCTCGTCAAGCCGAACCACACCATATAACCCAGAAGGGAACGGCCAAGTAGAACGTTTGAACGGCACTCTATGGAAGACTATTTCCCTCGCAATGAAGACGCGAGGACTACCGACCAGCTGCTGGCAAGAAGTTTTGCATGATGCTCTTCATTCCATCAGATCTCTGTTGTGCACCGCTACTAATGTAACACCGCATGAACGCCTCTTTATCCACCAACGAAGATCGACGAGTGGAACTTCCATACCAACGTGGCTATCCAAACCTGGACTGGTACTGTTGAAGCGTCAAGTAAAACAATCTAAGTATGACCCATCTGTCGATGAAGTAGAGCTAATCGAAGCAAATCCTCAGTATGCGCATGTAAAATTTCCCGATGGAAGAGAAGATACCGTAGCCACTAAGTTCCTCGCTCCACAAGCTGAGGAAAAAGAGAAGTTATGCGAGAAACCGCTACCACTATCGCCTTATAAAGATAATACTGTAGACGACCCACGTCAATCTCCTTTGGCCACAAAAGACGCTAGGAAACTAAATAATAGTTCGCCAAAGAAGGAAAGAGAAGGAACTCACTACTAGAGGATCCCGCTCTACCTGATCAGTCGTCTTCACAACAGACACTACCGTTACGCCGCTCGCAGAGAGAAAAGAAACAACCCGACCGCCTGACATATACATGACATTGAACTAAAAGAAAAAAAGACAATCGGGCAGGACCAGTCTTATTTAGATTATTTAAGTTAGATTATATAGTTATTTCAAATAGGAGAGGGTGATTGTAGTGATTATTACATGAAGTACACCCACCTTAGTAACCGCGCCTAGTTTAAGATAATTACTTATAAAGAGACATTTTGTAAATTTTAATTTAGTGTTGAGTAAAGCCTTATTTCGAAAGGTCGTTCTTTGGTGTTTACTTGAATTCAAACTTCTACTTCAATATGTACAATGAGTTTAAAGAGCAGCTGCAGAGAAGTGAAGAAGGTTGGTATGAGACAGGACTACCCTAGAAGGGCAATCATCCACCATTACACAACAAAAAATGTTGCAGTAGTAGAAGATTAAACAGTTTGACTAAAAGCTAGAGAAACAAAATATCATGTGAAGCAGTATAACGAGATTATCTTGAAAGAGTTGAAGGAAGGAATTGAGAAGGTGGCAGGAATAGAAGCTCACGGCAAAGAGTTCTATATGCCTCATAAACTAGTAATCAACCAGTCAGCAGGAACAACAGAGGTATGGATCGTATGTGACGGATCTGCACGTGATAATGATAAAGCACCATCCATGAATGAATGTTTACAAGCCGGTCCACCTGGTCAAACCTCTGCAGAATCACTTGTGGAAGGTGATGGTGAGAGGAAGATTTCACCTGGTTGTGTTAACAGGAGACTTAAAGCAGGCACTCCTCCAGGTAAAAATACGTAAAGAAGATTGGGATGTGATTCTTCTCATTGGTACAAAGATATAAAGACAAAAGAGATGACAGCCCTACGTTTCACCAGAGCTCTGTTTGGCTTGTCTCCATCCTCATTTCCTTTTGTGAGCAGTCATTAAACAACACCTAGACAAACATGAACAGAACCACTTTGACATTAGAAAAGAAATTAGAGACAGTCTATACTTCAACGGCTTGATCAACGGGAGAGAAACCATTGTAGCTACAAACGAAGAAATTAAGAGAAACTACGACGAAAATCTTCGCGACGGGCAGTTTACTTTGCACAAATGGCACTCCAGCGTATCCGAACTAGGAAATTATCCCAAAAATCGAGCTGCATACCTTTGCTGATGCTAGCAGTCATGGAATTGGGGCAATAGTGATGGCCATTGTTCATCAAGAGATTGGTACAAGCAAGGGCCTGGTGGCTGCCAAACCATATCTTGCTAAGAAACTGACCATACCACGTCTAGAACTTGTATTGTTACATATGTCAACAAATCTTACTCATAACGTTAAGGGAGCGCTATAAGGGTCTCCAAACGGCACTGTTTTTAGATGGTTGAACAGCACAGTAGCTCTCCATTGGATACGAAATGGTGAAAATAAGGATTTAAAGCATTTATTTGTGAATCAAGTAAGCAAGATACAGGAAAATAACTACTACATCCAGTGGAGAAACGTTCCTGGACAAGATAATTCTGCAGATGTGGCCACCAGAGATGTTTAAGTGAGTCAAGGAAAAGGTCCAAAGTGGTTGACAATGAAAAAATATTAGCCAGAGGACATCACAACTACAGAAACAAAAGAGAGTATAGCGGAAACAAAACTTATAACTAAAATATTTGAAACTGCAAACCTGCTACGTGATGAGCTTGACGAATTGCTGAAGTCGATAGCAAGTCTCTTTTTGTGATTATTATCTTTGGTCACAACGACTTGTGCTCTCCAAAGGGAGTTGCTTGGTTCTATGATCCCTTCTTTTAGCAGCCTTTAAACCTCTCCATCAATGAACTTTAAATCATCCTTACTGTAGCGACGAGATTTGCTTGCAATTGAACGACAGTTCTCAGTTAGGTTAGCAAATGGCTCAGCTGGGTCCATGTTGAGTTTATTAAAACCACAGACAGACAGTGGCGGTTGGCTGCCCCCATACTGAAATGCAATGCTCTCATGCTGTAACTGGAAGTACAGACCGAGTATAAGATCGGCACAGAGTCCAGGAAGGACTGAAAAGCGAAGGTTGGTGTATTTCTGGTCCTGGTATTCAAGGTTAGTCGTACAAGTACCCGTAACATTAGCTGACAAGTTAGTGGAAGCCATGGAAACAGTTCCACTAACTGGTTGCACAGTCAGCCCAGCCCTTTCAACTAGATTTGGGTGTATGAAACTCTCAGTGCTGCCACTGTCAAACAATGCCTTTACTTTCAATCTTCCTAAGCTGACGTTTGTTGTTGACTTTGATAGAGACCCAGGACATGAAGTGGGTGCTAAAACAGGGGAGTTTATGGATGCTGATACCTTTAAGGTAGCTTTACTTTGACAAACCTTGGCGTAGTGACCTTTTTTCTGACACTTTGCAAATATAGCTTCCTTTGCAGGACATTTAGATCGTGGGTGCCTATTGTTGCCACCGAAATAACAGCTGGAAGTTGTTTCGACTGCAGCAGCAAGAGTATTCTCTTTGCACTCTCAGCAGGAACAGCAGCATTGATGAGTGTATTTGGAGTTGAATACTACTCAGAAATCTTTATGGCTGACTCAAGAGATGTAGCCTGATCGAACATAGTTTTTAAGACGAGGGTTTTGTTTTCCAAAAGTCTTTGGCGTATAACATTTGACTGTAATCCAGCAATAAATGCATCTCTAATGCTCTCTTCACAGTATTGTACAGCTGTGACGTTCTTGAAGTTACAATCTTTGTTTAGTGCCTTCAGGGCTTGTAAATATTCGTCTAGTGTTTCTGTTGGAGCTTGTTTCCTAGTAGCTAAAAGATGGCGAGCAAAAACTTCATTTTTCGGTTTGATAAAGAGATCCTGAAGTGTTTCAATCGATGTCTTATAATCTTCACAATCTTCTATGTGTTGAAAGATGCTTGGGCAGACGAAGTTGGATAATACTGCAAGTTTATCCAAACCTTCTTTTGGCAAAACGGCCATGAAGTTTTCAAACGTACGTTTCCAATGAAGCCATTCTTTTGCCGCTGTTCCCCTGTTTCGATCGGTTTCTAGCCGCTCTGGCCGTAAAACTTTATCCATTTCCTCATGAAATTATCGTTGATTAAATTGTATTGAAGGATTAACTACGCATTGACCTGAAGTTAGGCTTTAATCAACGATAAACATAACCTAATTAACAAACATAGTGGCTGCCAAGACAGAAGACTGCTGACAATGATAATAACTGACTCATAAGCCACAGAAACCCCAAAACCATATAAATGTACATAGAAGTGAATGCTGTTATCACGACTCAAACAATATAAAAATTATTTATATTAAGAAATAATAATGTCCTAATGTTTGAGAAAATTAGTCCCCTTCCTTAATTTTCCTGCTCTTCTTCTTTTACTTGGTCTTGTATCCGACATTCTGCAACTACTGTGGCATTTTTCTTTGGTTTAAATTCACGGGAATCTACATTCAGATCAGTGTCCGAGGGTAGTTTTATGCTTCTTCGTTACGTCATGAGATAATTTCATCAGATTCAGTAATTGGAGGGGTCGTTCGATTATACTCTTTGCAACTCTCAGCTTTGCTCCATGTACAACACCATTGTTTCCTGTTACTAAACGCTCTTCTATTCCAAATTTCCACTTGCGTCGAATCTTCTCCTCGCCGTTTATAATTGCAATGTCACCAGTGTTGATGTTTGCCTTTTTCCCGTTATTCTTCATGTTATGAGTCTCGCGCAGTGCTCTCAAATATTCTGTCTGCCACCGTTTTCATAGCACTTCCTTGCAGCGTCGTATATACCTTGCTCTGCTATTCTTGATTCGACGGTCTTTCTGCTCTAGAATAATGTTTCAAAACTGAATGGCATTTGGAGTGAGCAAGAAGAGTTGATTATCTTCTTTGATGTATCTGAGTGTACGGTAGTTTAACGTGATTTCTACATTCAAAATTACCTTCTCGAGCTCTTCCCAGGTCAGAAAGCCGTTGTTGATCGATTTGTAAAAGACCTGCTCGATCAGACCAATCAACCTTTCATACTGACTTCCCCACCATGAAGCTCGGCTAAGGTTGAATTGCCATTGGATGTTTAACTTAGTTAAATAGTCGTTGAAACTCTCGTTGTTCATAATTCCTTTTAATATCCTTGCTTCAGCTATAAACGTCTATCCATTGTCGGAGTAAACTTTGCTTGTTCGTCCTTTTCACGCAATTAATCGTTTGAAGGTTTTGAGAAACTCTTGAATGTTCAAAGACTTTGTTCATTCCAGATGTAATGCTCTCGTCACTGCACATGCATACACTGCAATCCATGCTTTTCCTTCAACGTTTTTCCTTTTACGATACTTTATGGGGCCACCGTAGTCGACACCAATTACTTAAAAAAGTAAACGCCACTCTGTATGGTCTCTAGGTGGATTTCCTGAGACAGCGCTTGGGTAGGGAACGGCTTGAAAATTTTTACATCCGTGACAACTCGTTTCATAACTTGTCTTAGTCTTGAAATCCAGTAACTTTCACGTACCTTCGCTATTGTTAAACTTGTTCCCCCAAGAAGGATGATATAATACAAATGCTAAAAAATCTTTTCTTTAAACACATCGCTGTTAGGCAGGTAAATAGGGTAATCTTCTTGAATTTGTCGGGCAAAAGATGCAGCCTCTTCCGATCTTTATAAAATTTTGCAGTGTACATGTCAAGATTTCGGGCTTAGATTCGTTTTATCCACCAATTTCTCCGATTGTTAATTTTATCTGTAGTCATACCGATTTATCAATATTGTTGCCAGTGAGGTGCCAGGCAGGAAACGTATTCTCAATACAAATATTACAGCCCAACATATAATTTTGAACATAGTCATAAGCAATTTAGTTTGTGAAATTTATTAAAATAGTGACGTTTCGTCTTGACTCAAGACATCTTCAGACTAATTATGAAGTTAACAAGAATATCGATACATATAGAGCTATTTACATAGTTTGAGGTTATCAGGTTACTGTGAATGCGTAGGTGTGATGTGATGTATTGTGTGATGTAAGTGTGATGTAAGTGTGATGTAATGTTAGGGTGAGGTGTTGAGACTAGAAAAGCTTAAGAGGGATGGATCTGCCTTGGGTCTTTAGTGAAGGTTTTAGTTAGGAGATGAGGAGGCTTTCGTTGATCATGGGGTCGAATGTGTCGGAGCAGGATGAGATGATTTTAAAATCAACTGGCGAAGCAGGGTGGTTGGAGGAGTTACTATGAGAAAGAATACTTGACATTAATGGGTTCGTATAGCATTTTCCAGTCAAAGGAGAGATCCCTAAGTGTTCCGAGATTCTGGTGTGTAAGTGGCGTGTGGTTTGACCCACATACGACACGGAACAGCATCGACACGTGTATAAATAAACAACACCAGATCTCAGAGACTTGGGAATTTCGTGCTTAACGGGAAAAAATGAAGAGAGTCGTGTGGGGGTACTGAAGACGAATCTGACATTGAGATGAGGGAAAGCAGCGTTGTAGAGACGATTGATTTGTGTGCGGATTTGTAACGAGTGACAGCCGGTGAATGGGAGACAGAAATACACTATTTTCTTAGGGACACTAAGGACAGGTGGTTTTTGTTCGAATTTTGCGTCAAGGAAACGACGGACGATGTGATCGAACATATTAGTTGGATTGCAATTGAGTTTGAATAGTTTTCTGGTGGTTTCAATTTGGGCATGAAAAGTCTCATAACTAGAGCAAAGTTTGAAAAAGTGGTGTAAAAGGCGAGAGATTAAGTTGCGTTTGTAAGAAAGTGGGATAAAGCTGTGAAAATTTATGAAAAGACCGGTGAATGTGGGTTTACGATATACAGAGGTGGTGAATTTGTCGTTTGAGCGGTTAATGTCAATGTCTAAAAACGGTAGTCGTCTATTATTTCCCGTCTCAGAGATAAAAGTGATGTTGGGGTGTTGATGTCCCCTCTAAAAAGAGAGGAACGTGATCAAGTGATTTAAAAAGGAGGAAGCAGTCATCGACATATCGTCTGTAGAGAACAGGTTTGAATTTCTGGGGACTGTTTTTCCGCCAGTTTTGTTCATGGAAAGACATGAATATGTTGGCAAAAAGGGAGCCAAGGGGACTACCCATAGCAACACCATCAATTTGGTGGTATAATCTGTAGTCAATGGACCGCTATTCTTTTGTATTTGTTTTTTACTTTTTTGAATAAACTGTGAGATCCATCAACAAATTTTCATAGTTTTCCAGAGATTGAAATTGAGTACCATCAGATTCCCCTCAAGAGGAAGATAAGCAATACACAGCCTTTGAAGCACGCAACAATCTCTATAAGTTAACACACCTCCCATTTGGTGTAACAAATGGGGTTGCTTGTTTTCAACGTGAGATGGTAAAGTTTGTTGAACAGAACAATCTCAATGCAGTATTGCCATACTTGGATAACATCACTATCTGCGGTAAAAACCAACAAGAACATGATGCAAACTGTGAGCAATTTCTTGCTGCAGTAAAGAGGAAGAACATCTGTTACAACGACTCAAAGAGTGTCTTCTCAACTCGGAAACTTGCTATTCTTGGATATGTAATTGAAGAAGGCGTTATTCGTCCAGACCCAGAAAGGCTAAGCCCTCTGCGCAACCTACCTGTGCCTCACGATTCTAAGTCACTCAACAGGTACCTTGGTCTGTTCTCTTACTACTCTCAGTGGACTAGTGTAGCACTAGCAGCCACACTCAACCAAGAGGGCAGGCCTGTCGCTTTATTCTCTCGCCCACTACAAGGAAGCGAACTGAAGAAGGCTGCCATAGAAAAGGAAGAACAAGCTATCATTGAGGCCATCAGGCATTGGAGACATTTCCTGACAGGGCAACACTTCATTTTGAGAACCGACCAAAAGTCTGTATCATACATGTTTAATCAACGCAACCGAGGTAAAATAAAGAACGACAAAATCATGCGTTGGAGGCTTGAACTAGCATGTTGCAGCTTTGACATTGTATACCACCCAGGAAGGGAGAATGTACTCCCTGATGCACTCTCCAGAGCGACCTGTGCTTCTGCATCTCAAGATTCCCTGTATAACCTCCACGATGCACTCTGCCACCCTGGTGTTACCAGGCTTAACCACTTTGTTCGTAGCAAGAACTTACCTTATTCATTGGATGAAGTAAAGCGTGTCAAAATCCAATGTCAAATATGCGATGAATCTAAGCCTCGATATCACAAGCCAGAGGAAGTCCCACTTATTAAAGCGACTCTACCCTTCGAAAGAATCAATATCGATTTCAAGGGTCCATTGCCAAGCAACAACGGAAACAAGTTTTTCCTGAACATAGTTGATGAATACTCCAGGTTCCCATTCGTGTTTCTATGCTCAGATATATCAACATCTACAGTAATAAAGAGCTTAACTACTCTATTCCCCCTGTTTGGCATGCCAGCATTTGTTCATTCAGACCGTGGTACATCGTTCATGAGCCATGAGCTGCAAGCATTCCTAAGAGGAAAAGGGATCGCTACAATTCGAACAACAAGCTACAAGGAAATGGTCAGGTTGAAAGATATAACGGTATTGTATGGAAAGCTGTTGAAACGTCCTTGAAATCCAAAAATTAAGTATTGGCAGGTTGTTTTATCTGACGCCCTCCATTCCATTCGCTCCTTACTCTGTACGGCTACAAATGAGACACCTCACGAGCACTTCTTCAAGTTTCCTAGACGATCTTCTACGGGTGCATCATTCCTACTTGGATGACAGAACCAGGTGCTGTACTCCTCAAGCGTCATGTTCGCACAAATAAAACTGATCAGCTAATCTACGAGGTGGAGCTACTCGAAGCAAACCTCACTATGCCTTTGTACGTTATCCTGATGGTAGGCAGACAAATGTGTCAACAAAGCATCTTGCACCCAAACCTCCATCTACAACTGAAGTTCAAATTCAGCCTCACGATCATGCGCCAGAAACCACAGTTGTAAATTCTCCTGCGCAACAAGAAGTACTTACAGCTACCAATCAAGCTAGCATACCTACTACATCTGAACACACCCCTGTGCCGCGCTCTGAGCGAATCAGGCACCCGGTTGATAGAATTAATATTTAAAGGACAGGGTGAATGTCGTGATAACCGCATTCGCTTCTATGTACATTTATATGGTTTTGGAGTTCCTGTGGCTTATGAGTCAGTTATTATCATTGTCAGCGGTCTTCTGTCTTGGCAGCCGCCATGTTTGTTAATTAGGTTATGTTTATCGCTGATTAAAGCCTAACTTTAGGTCAATGCGTAGTTAATCTTTCACTACAGTTTGTTATAAAGGTAGTTTTCTAGTAAATGATTAGTGTTTATATTCGTCTCTAACGGAAAACGAGTAGAGGAGAGTGTAGGGAACTGTGACAATTTGAATTACGTAATCATATAGTTAAACATTAGTAGTGTAACATCACGTGAGTAAGGGGTATATTACAGAATATATTCATTAGGGATGGACAGTAATTTGACTCACTTCAGTCGATGTGAAACAGTGATAAATAAAACATAACAAAACTTATGAGTATGTTGGGCATCTACTTAGTTGTAATATTCCCAACACAGGTAAAGCTCAGCAATACGAGGCTGTATCTAGATACAAGCCAGCAACACCGGACAGTATTCAGATACAGCAAGGAAACATTAAAGTAACAGGGACAGTATATATACCTTATTTAATTTATCGTAATAAATAAATCAATTAACACAATGATTACTGTCGTATTTTGTCCATAAAATTTTTATTGTGTGTATATGTTAATGAAAAAATCAGAATCCTGCTCACAAATACGGAAATACATGTTCGACATTGCCGTATTAATGTCTTTTTTATTAGTGTTCAGACTTACCTTCATTACTGTTCAGACTTACCTCGCAACAAGATCAAAAAGAAGCTTCTGTCTGCTATTTTTTCTTTACTAGCAGTTTAATAAATTTACTTTCCTACTGCTACAGTTATCATTTTAATAACTCATACTTTTTAGTACAAAGATTACACGGAAACTTTGCAGTATTGTGGTGTGTGGCAAAAGTTTGTATAAGTGAATAAGTCCGTGTCAGTGATGAAAACTTTCCGTGGGATGTGTAACAGCAACGCCGATTTTATGTTTCATTATTTCTCAGAAACTTTTTATCAGTGCTAAGAAATATCTAAATGCGCACGCACTACTTTTCTAGGAACTGTAAAGGCTTGAAATAGCAGCTATAATGAAATTGCTATAAACACCAAATGTTGTAGAATGTTCATTAATGAAAAAAATTGCGCTTTTACTGTAACGCTTTTCGTTAGTGCTGGCATAATGTTAACATTCTGAAGTTTTTGTCAGTCTCAAGTATAAAATGTTATGAATTTTGGACAAACTACACCCATATAGTACACAATGGTGAGTTGATCTTGGACACGGGACAGTGAAATTCTAAGTTGCGCAAATATCTGCCTTTGTATGAAACATTAAAATTTGCATTTATAATGTTTTGCTTATGACTGAAAATTGCGCAATACATTGAATACACAGACTACAGCTGACACAACACAGATGCTACAATACCATTTATAGCTATGCTCTTAAAGGTGGTCATTCCCCTTTCATGGGTTTTTTCATAATTTCCATGAAATAAAATGAATTTTGCCATCTTCTCCAAGGAATTGACAAGACCGAGAAACAATTGACAATAAAAATTTTCAGATTCTCATTTTAAAATTACACTCATATTCATGACGGCCTGCTAATTAGCACTAACGTGTGACATAGGTAACGAAAAACCTAGCATAAGTTTTGAAAGGCCCAGCACAGGTATTGAAAAACATTTGCTATGACAAACTTTAAAAACATTTTCGTTTTTCATATGCATTGTAAAAATGTAGTAAAGTCATTCGTTATTATTGCGTCCTATTTTTTCGTGTTTTACTATTTACATATGAGATATTTCAATGAACGGTTTGGTGAAAGTGTTTGAGTTGGTCATATTTTGTTTGGTCATATTTTGTTTTGAGAGTTGCCCAAAGTGTAAGACCTTTGACCAAACATACGTGGAAGTCACGCGTGATCACGCGCGTAACACCCATTGCACGTAAATAAGGAAGCGGCAGCCTGCTGTGAGAAATATTTAAAATTCTTTATGTTATGAAATACATCCACGTCAACGTAAGTTGGAGATATTTTTCTGGCGATTTATGATCACGATATCAAGAAATATTCCTTCCATCTAAGGAAACGGTAAGATAAAGATTTTGCATCCTTAGATGGCGACTCGATTTAATTTTAATTTACGTATCTGTCTTAGTAGAACAAAGACAGTTTTTTATTTAAAATTTACTTAAGACTTTGACTAATGTAGGTATGATTCGACCTTAAAACTAGTTTGCTTTGTTATTCTTGATAAGCATTTAAACATGGTTATTGTCAAACCATGAAATACAACAAATATAAACGAGATAGTCAAGTTAGATTTCAAACATTTTATTGGAAATATATACGAAATATATGAATATAAGTGAAGCAGAACATTAAATCACTGTGTTTAACATGATTTGTTCTTGTTCGGAAGTTATTTTTGTCATCGTTTAATCTTAAAATGATCGTTGTAGAGGGTTTTCATCACTTAGTTATGTACATCAACATATTTTGAACTTTTGATATGATAAAAATTGTTTGTTGATATGTGTTGATTTGCTACTGAAATAACATACTAAAGTCAATATTTTATAAGTGTTCTTCATCTTTTATGATTGATCAATGATTGTGGACAATGTGTGGTCGCTAAATATATTTTTGTTACAAGATTTATCTATTTACTTGGACTCATTCATGTACAGGAAGATCAATAATTGTTGGGTGGGGTTGTTGGCTCATAATAATTTTGGATCTGCTCACATAAAAGTTATGCTCACCAATTTTTCATTCGTTTTTTTTATTACAATGTTTTGTTGACCATTTTTATTGCTTTCATCACTTTTGTTGACTTCTTGACACACTCCCTTTTTTTAGCAAGAAAAACTGTGGCAGGACTGTAGGATGATTGTTAATTTGGAGATCATATTATGTATGCATAATATAGGCTACATGTGTTAAGTTCCTTTGAAAACCATTGTTGTCTAGGGATCATTACATCCAAATGTTTATGTCACCCCAACCACAATATAGAGAACATACAGTAGGACCACTTTCTGTGTAACTTACTGCTGTATATATAATTATATTACTGAGTGTAGTTTGCCAGCTCAGAGCACCTATTGGTCAAAAAATGTTACTGTGTAACTGTCACTATGGTAATCACTTGCAGAATAAGTTATGCACGGCACAAAAATATTCAAAGCAATCTACTATATGTTCCTATAACCGTGCCCCAATGAGGTTTTTGCCGGTTGCTAGTCTCCCTTAAATTTGCGCGGTTTTTGCAATGCATTCTGGGATCGCGAGGGGGCGAACATTTCTTCAGAAATGTATCTGTGATAGTGATATTTTCGAGAATTCTCAATTTAAAGCACTATTTCCATTATAATGGCTATTCGTTGTAATGGGTATCCGTTACCAGTTGGGAGAAAAGAAGTAAAAGTATGTGGAGACGGCAATTGCTTCTATCGAGCAGTTGCGTTGGCTATGCTAACGGTGAAAGCGACGAAAACTTTGCTCACATTCGAGAAATGTGTAACGATGTTTTGATACAAAATCCGGCTACTTTTCGACCATATTTATTTCGATACGAATCGATGAAAAAGCATCTGGAGCAAAGCATTATGTCTGCTACGTGGGGAGAAACAGTGGATATGTACGCTTGTGCCCCTTCAACTTTTCTAGTGACAATCTAGTGTAGCGGTAGAAATTCGTCTGGCAAATAGCTTGTTCAATAAATAAGTTTCTTTTCAACGTTTTAACATCTCCCTTGCAAGAACAGTCAATGAGGTCATGTTTATCACTTTAAAAGCTATAGCTATCATCAGAATCATAACTTGTAACAACCAAGTCTGTTGTACAATTTATTTGTGGACTGTCATCGTGCACAGACTCTGGATCAATATACTGCTCAAGAACAGTGATTTCAGCTGCAAAAAATGCCTTATCCTCATGCTCAAAGCTTTTCTCAGAAATCCTTCAAACAGAATTTTTCGTCTCTTTATTTTCGGAATATTTGATTTGCTTCTATCTTTCGGCGGTAATCGTTTACTGGTTTCTTTTGATTGGTATCCTTTCAGATACAAAGTTGGATTAGGACAGCCCTCGGATCGATAACCAGCAAGAAAATGATTTGAACAAACCTTGGTATTAGTAGTGACTTTGAAGTTTTTCCTGTTGATCAGCTTTTGCCAAGCACTCTTGTCTTTCGTTTTTCGGAGAAAAAAAGCGAGGAATACCAACGTGATCGGAAACGATGTATTTTTCAGGATATCTCCTATCGTTATCACAGCCATAAACAGCACAGTGATCCCCTTTTCCCATTATAATATAAACTTTTTACGAAAAGATATCTTTATAAAGATACACAATGTTCGCCCCCGGGCGATCCCAAAACTCATTGCAAAAACTGCGCAAATTTAAGGGAGACTGGCAACCGGCAAATACCACATTACATTGTGTCTTCCTTAGGTCCTAAGTCTTGAATGAAGCATTAGTCTAAATGAATTACACCTGCTCATTTTTTTTATCATAATACCTTCTAAACAATGATAATGGTTATGAATTTTTAAAGAATAAAATTTTCAGTGGTGTAGCCAGACTGATAAAATGTTTAGCCCTTCTATGTACGTTTTTATATTCTTTTACTGTGAAAAGAATAGGCATTTTACCTTTTGAGTCTTAAAGTGTCCCTTCCACCAAAAAAATTTTTTTAGCAATGTCAAATCTGTCGATGATTCTAAGCCTCGTTGAAGAAAAAATTTTGAATTTGGTCAAATCGTTTGATTTTTGTAAAAGCGTTAAATTAACTAAAATCGTATATTCTTGTGAACTATGTCCGTGAAAATGAGGAGTCTGAAACTAGCTAATTTTCTGACGTCATCCAAGGTACTTGTGTTACACGAGTCGTATATTCAATTGCTATCAAGGCAATGCTGACTGAGGCACAACTTAAGTCTATAAGCGTGTAAAAGCATTGCCTTTGCACTAGTAAAAGCAGAAAAATGGTAAATAATTGCGTTGCAGACAATTGTACGAATGAGTCAAGCCTTTGCTCTCGTATGAGTCTTCACACTATGTCTTACAATGATAAAAGGCCCAAGGCCAAGCGAAGACGCAATATCTGGGTTTTAAAGCAAAGCACCTTTTTTAGCCTTCCAGTGCTTCAACACTTTGTTCGTCTCGATTAAAACCAGAGGATTTGGAGCGTCAGTTTAATTGTTTGCCGAATCAAAAGAACGCTAATTTTTCAGGGCTTAAAAAAGATGAAATTAGAACTTGTGTCTTTCCGACCATCCAGGCTTTGGAGTCAAAATCCGAATCATTATCGCTCAAGTTTAATTGCTTTCGGAGTTTTCTGTCACGTATCCCGGAATAAAGTTTTTGTCAGATTTATCTGACTGAACACTCAAGTCTGATTTTGATTTATTGCTTTCTTCGCAAGACATATGATTAAACAGCGTGAAAGAATGTATATGTTTAATATAAGCTAAATATGCCCGAGTGCTGACTGTATTGGATGACGTCAAAGTACCTTCTAGTGCCAGTCTCTTTTGTATTATAGAAAACGACGGCGTTGGGCCAAAAATGCACAACTTCAAGATGCTATAAAAGCTTGTTGATTTGAGCAAATTTCTGAAATTTTTCCTCAGAAAGGCTTAAAATCATAGACAGTTGCACAAAGCGTGGATAGCACTATTTGTCGGATAGTAAAATTTTCAAACTTGTAGAAAAAGGTGTTTACATGTTCCTTAGGGGAAAGAAATTTTTGTAATCTTTGAAGCAATATTTTATTTCAATAATTGCTCAGTTCAAATCACATATTATTCGCTTTTAAGAGATTTTGTAAAAGTTCAAAACAATTTGACATCTAATGGATAAAACTACTCTGCCTTCTTGTAACCGGCCGCAGGTTTTCCTTTATAATCACAATGAATTTGTACCATAAAAGTCTTACCTACTTTTTTTAGCTAACATTGACATGGGGTCTGTCTTGAGCTCTAAAAAGAAAATTAATGGTTTTAAGTTGATGAGATTAATTGTTGATGTTGGTGGAGAAGCTTTAAGAATAACATTGAGGAAACAGCTGTCAGGTACTGATTTATTTTACGTTTTAAATAATCCTAAAATTTATAATCAGGTTTTGATTCTAAAAAATAATCACACTTTAAAGCAACATCAATGGGATCTACTGTATCCTCCTCCTCCAATATTACCAAATGAAAATAAGTTCGACGTTACTTTACTTTGTATTCTCCTGCGTAATATTTGTGGTTTAAAACCACCACGTGATCCAATATGGACGTCAGTAAATGACACCACTGATCATTCAACTGAAGCAGATATTACCCGTATCAGGTTATTTCGTAATGATCGTTTTGCTCACTTACCTAACACTTCAGTAAGCTCTTATGACTTTGAAAATTTTTGGGTAGAAATAAGCGAACCAATAGTTCGTTTAGGAATAACTCAGAACGAAATAGATAGATTGAGAAATGACTTGTGTAGTAATAAAGAATGTGAAAGAATATTGAGAGAATGGGATAGATTAAAGAGCGATTTAACTGATATTAAAACTGATCAGAGAGGTATTAAGAAAACAGTGGAGGGTGTAAAGAAAGATTTACAACAGGTAAAAGATGATGTCACAGTAATTAAAGATGAAGTACATGAAATACGACATCACCCTCACTTAGGTCCAGAAGAAGATATTTTGACAAAAAACCTTGTCAGCTTTGACTTTGAAAGTGAAATTAGGTACCATTATGAAAACTATTTGCATGGAACACGGGAATGGGTTTTTAAAGAGTTTTTAGCTTGGTTTGAAGACGGCAATTCCCAAAATCGTGCATTTGTTATTTCTGCTGTTGCTGGCATGGGGAAATCTGTAATTGCAGCTACTTTATGTAAACTTTATCCACAATATTTGACTGCAATTCATTTCTTTCAACACAAAAACAGTCGTTATAATAAAGCCAATGTACTTCTTCAATCTCTAGCGTTGCAAGTTAGTCGTAAGTTTCCTGCTTACAAACAACTTCTTGTGAAAAAACTTTCAGGTAAACTCTCTCAGCCTTTGAATAACATGAATGTTGAAGGATTATTTTCCCTTCTTTTCACCGAGTTGTTTTATAATATCTCAGAAGTTCCCAAGCGAATGTTAGTTGTGCTTGATGCTCTTGATGAATGTGGTTATCCAGAAAGAGATGACCTTGCTAATTTGCTTGCTAATCACTTACACAAACTTCCCTCTTGTTTTCGCTTTGTAATTACAACCAGACCTAACGAAGTTGCTTTGAATAATTTCGAAAAATTAAATCCACTGTTCATTAATTGTAGCGATGATCGCAATTTAGAGGATATTAAATTTTTGATTGAACAAAGAATTGGCTCTACTGACAGCCTATCTGATGTTAAAAACATATTGGCAGAAAAAGCTGACGGACTTATGTTGCTTGCATCACTTCTTAGCAGTGAAGTCAAAAATCAGGAATTGTTGAAAGGTTCCATACCAAAAGATCTCAGTGAATATTACAAAATTTGCTTAACAAGATTAAGTAAGGAATTAGATTCGTTTGATATCAGTAACAAAACGTTTCAGTCAATTTTAAATGCTCTGGCTGTTGCTAAAGAATCTCTTCCTTGGAAAATGATCGATTACGTTCTTTGTTTTAATTCGAATCGCGACTCACTTGCAGTTAGAAAAATTATCTCTTGTCTGTTTGTTACCAATGGAGAAGGATGTGTTTCGTTTTTTCACAAATCCTTAAATGATTGGCTGTTGGATGATCGAGAACATGATTATTCAGTAAAAACTTCTTGTGGTCATCGACTTGTTTTAGAATTTTGTTTAAAATCTTTGGATAACCTCAAAGCTGAAGGTGTAAACTATGACGTCATTAAACATGCGTCAGTGAGATATTCAGTCAAGTATTGGTTGCTTCATTTACTTGATAGTTCTGATAATGATTATATCGTTGAAAATGTTGGTAAATATCTTGTTGACTTAGAAGTTTTAGTTGCTTCTATGTTGGTGGACTCTCGTCGGACTTTTGAAAACTTTAAATTATTCAACGCACATGATGTGTACTTTCATATTTCTGAGGACATTCGATTGTTATTTAATGAAGTTTATTCTGTAATGACGCACTCTAGGCGCTTTGACAATGAAGTAAATTTTTTGGAAAACGTTGCCAATGACGTCAAAGATCTGTCGTCTCAAGCCACCACAATGCTTCAAACACGTTTCAAACATTTACCATATCTAGAGTGCAGAGACACGGGTTTTATAAAATCTCGATTATTACATTCATTTCATTTGTTGATGTCTGTTGATGTTTCACGAAATCATGATTACGTCGTCTGTGGTTATGAATTCGTCGTGCAACTTTTTTCATTAAAAACAAACAGATGTTTATGGATAAAAAATATTGCTGGTCAGTTTAAGCAATATAAAGAGAGAAAATTTTGCGTTGTCTTTCATCCATTCGAAGATTTGATTTTTGCTTCGCAGCTCGATAAGATATTAGATATTAATGGTAAAATTTCCTCCAGTCCGTTCCATTGTGAGGATTCTACTTCTAAGTTCTTTACCAACAAATGTTTTTCTAAGGATAAGTACACAATGGTCACTAGTTACAAAGATACTTTGACAGTATGGGACGTTGAGAAAGGTGAGAAGAAACGCAGTATTAGATGTAATAATGTGACCTCACTGTGTTTTTCTAATTCTGGAAGATATTTGTGTGTTTTTGGGAAAGAAATAGCGTTTCAAATATTTGATGTAGCGAATAATTATGAAACATTCTTTTATGAGTATCATTTGCCGTCTCGTCATTTAGGTCTGATTGTTTCTTTGTTCACTGTTGGTCTTCATTCTTGGTGTTGTTGCCATTGTTTTCGAGGGTATAATCATTTCATTGTAAATCCCACTGGTGAGAAACTTCCTTACATTGATCCTGTTTCCCAAAGTTTGTTTTTTCCTCTTGATCCTTTCGATGACAACAGATCAACCTTTTCCGTTATGTTTAGAGGATTGTATTATTTTATTTTGAACAACGATAATGTTCTTTTGTTTGATCGCATAGATTTCTTTTATCTTTATTCAGTACCTCGTGCATGTTTAACTAACAGTTACAGTTTTCTTAACGGGAAATTTTGCTCAAATGGAAAATTTCTGTATCGGAGCACTGAAGGAAAATCAAAGGTAATTATATACAATCTCAACACATTTGACTTTGTTGTCAAGAAATGTTTTTTTAGTGACATGGTTGCTGTAGAAAATGGAGTTATTTTGCTTACGAAAAAAAATATGCCTGAGCTTTGGAATAATGATTTGACAAAACTTGTTTATAGTTTCGATGAACTAAAAGGTACAAACAAAGTTTTTGAGGTGAGTGATGTATCATTTGCTTGTCAAAAAACGGATTCTTTTGTGTTTTTCAATGTTGAAAACAAGCAAAAAGAAGTATCAGTGAATTTTGAAAATTATCGAAATGTGCACGTGTTTGCATGTAGCTCTAAGCATCACGTGTTTGCTAAAGTTGAATTTAAGGATCAGATAATATACTGTATGTGGCATGAAGACCATCTTGTTAATGGTTGGGATGACGTAATTAAGGAGGAAATCACCAATTTCATCGTGAACAAACACGTTGGAAAGTACACGCGTGATATTACTCGCTGTAAGACTTACGCTGATTTTTCACCTTCAGCAGATAAATTATTAATAGGTGAAGCAAAACTGTATGTGAAAGTATTTGATGTTAAAAACCTACAAATTATTTACAGTTTAACTAACGATTTATACTATGGTAAGTTTTTCTTTCTTGAAGATAGATTTATAACTAGTTATGACTTTCATTTCATTGATTTGAAATATTTTAAGAATGTAAATTTATATCTCCCGCGTGCGAGTATATTACCTAGAACTTTTTATTTCTGTCGTAAAAGCAAACTTGTTTTAATTTTTTCTTCCTTAAAGTTCGTGGTACAATGCGCAAAAATCATCTTTCCACGAGAATAAATTTGATCTTTGATGATAAAATTTCATCACATGTTTGATCATCACATGTCAACTACATTATCTTAAAGAAAATTTCATTCAGTTTTTATGCATGATCTCCAACATTGTTGACATTTCAATTAGTGTCTGTTTGCGTATGGTTTTATAAAATGACCTTTGGCTAACTTTGATTTTTCTGTAAAGAGACTGAAGTTTGACGATAATGTGAACAATAAAGTAAAGTGTTTGAACCCGGGAGTATCGTTACATGTTTGTAGATGTAAGTCGTCCAGGTTAGTAGAGTCCTGAGAAGGACTGTTTTTGTTGTTGTTGACTGACATTTCGACAACCTTAGCGGTAGTCATCTTCAACAATGTCAACAATTTTGGAGATCATGCAGGAAAACTGAACTCCATCAATTAAAGATGGCAATTGAAAAATAATAATGAAGGCAAACCAACAGTATTTTACACTTAAAGCAAGTTGTTAGTGATTTAATCAATTTTATCTTGCACTAAAAGCATATTTGATACATTTTAATTATTGCGTTTTGATATACAAATCATCGGTGTATTAAGTTGTTAACAGAGACAAAGACAGCCCAATTGTTACTTTTGTTACATTAAAATTTGCGTCTTCATGCATTTGAGAAATGTAAATTTATAATAAAGCAATGGTACCTTTGCCATATGTTTTTCTAGAAAAATTAAAAATTTGGCTGTCTTTGTCACTGATTGTTAAAAAGTAAATTGTAAAATACAAGAAAATGACTTCATGATTGACGTTCATCATCGTGAGAAACAAATTAACCATTGAGACTGAACACTCCAAACCTTGTGTTACTGTACAAACAGGAAAAGTTAACAAAAGTTAGAGAAAGTTTTGGAATATAGAGAGAAAAGAAAACAAACGACAATGTAGCACATAAAAATATGTTTAAAGACACGTTTTTAACATTAAATGAAAAATCGATGTCAGATATTGTTAACGTTTGAATAGTTTTACATTCATGGATCTCAATGAATATTACAAAATTTCCATAAAAACAATAAGTGACGAATTAGATTCATTTCAAATCAGTGAAGAAAAATTTTAGTCACTTTTAAATGCATTAGCAGTTTTAAAAGAACCTCTTCCTTGGGAATTAGTTGAGAACATACATAGACAATAATGTGTGGAGGAGATGATGATGTTAGTCAAAAGAGACGTTTGTTAACGTTGATGTCAATTTTTTTTGTTTGAAAATTGGCAAACAACGAAACAATTGATTAAAATCTTTGACACAGTGTGTTTTGTTTCAAAAAGTGATATAACTGTTCTCTTTAGTCTCAGTCAAGAATTGTTAACAAACAAAAAAAGGCATTAAATGACTTATTCCATTGCAGGTTGAACAAAATAAACTTCGATATATTCTTCAAAAAATTCTTTGCCCGAATCGGTCTAAATGTTTGTAGGAGAATATGTCGAAGAATATGTTGTATAAATTATTAAAATATTGGTATTTCGTTCGATTACTGTTATAAGGTTTTGGGTTAAGCTTGGCAAAGGTCATTTGATATGTATTGGCAAAGGTCAGCACGAGCGTATTCAATTCTTGCACAATTGAGAGGGTCAATTAATTATAAATTTTAACAATAAGCATGGGCAGCGCAGTGTATTGTAGTTCGTAAAGATCTTCGTGAAGATTTATTTTGAAGAAGGTAGAGCATTTTTGAAAGCCAAGCTCATGTATATGCAGTTAGGCAAATTAATTTCTATTGTTAAAGTTTATAATTAAAGAGGCTCTTATCTATGGCATTACAATCTAAATAATTTTAAATTCACTCTATTATTCATTCTGTACTTTACACTGTCTTTTACTACAAAACATTCACTGGTATGAATGCTCAAGTAAATTTAAACGAGAATTATTAAAGCAATTACATAGAAAACCAAACCACGCGCACCACTAAATGTGAAGAAACATTTGTTCATTAATTCTAATCGCTCCAAACTATGTGTTATTGTACGAAGAAGAAAAGTTAACAAAAGCTTTAAAGAGTGTTGCAAATATAAAGAAAGAACAACAGCTACAGTATTGCATGTGAAAGGATGTTCGAGGATACATCTATGACTTACAGAAATTTTTAAATCAAGAATTTTTGCTTTGTGAACACCTGCGCTTTGTGAATCAATCGTAACATTTATAGGCTGCGACAAAAGAGAACATAGTATTGTTGGACAAGCGAAGCCCATGAACTTAATTAAAGTGTATTTGTATTAGAAAGTGTTAAACAATTAAAAAAACATTATTCACTCAAAGATCAGTGAGCATACTGGAAATGGATGTCCAACGAGATTTGATATGTATTAATTTATGGCATATTGAAAATTTTCACTGTCTAAGTTCAAACTAAAGGAATGACTAATTTATCTACTAAAGCACTTGGTGGCATAGTTTTCTGTTTTTCTCAAACCAAGAAGTTTAATCTGCGAGCAGAACTGGAAGACAAAGGCTCTGTGATTTTACTGTGATATTGGTTATTGACTTTGTTGACAACACTTTTAAAACCTGAAAGTGAAAAAATGGTCATCCACACAACCGTTTTCGAGGGAATTTCAAATGTTTTTAAAAAACTGTAATCAATTAAAGTGACTGAACATTTGTGAGAGCGAATAGAAGAATGTCGCATGATTACAAAGGTTTTGTAGCCAAGGGGCTATCGTTCAGCATTTTTGTCGATGTCTCAAAGTGGAGTGACAGTTTCATGTCTACTTTGTTCCATATAAATAATATGTCTAGACTACAATAACATCAATATGTGAAAGTAACGTCAATCTACAACGATGAGAACTATACGAAACTTTGAACGTCTTTCTCAGGAAGTTAAGTTTTTTAAGGATTTTTCAATGGTTATTTTCGAAATTTTCTATGGATTTTTTTATATGTTTTGTCAATAAATGTAGTGTAGCCAGTTCACTCATTAAGTTTTACTGTGCAAATTTAAAAATTGAAAATGAATGTGACCGTTTTCTTAAGAAATAAATGATGAGGATGCTCAAAAGTTTGCATAGCAGGACTAACAAGAGTGGGTTAGTTACATTGTTGGTCAATGATTTAATGTGGTATGGAACTATGTACATATGATATTACTGTCCATTCGAAGGAAATGAATTGTTCATTTTGTAGGACAAAAACAGGCAGATGATATGTGTGTCAAAAATTCTGCAAAAACATATAATGAAATAATTTTAGTCGATTTTATTAACAAGTGTTTGCGTGACTTTTATTAATTTTGCACTGTAATATAGAATGTAGTCGTAAAGAAATTTTTTGTTGAAAAATTATTGCGTATTGTGTGTTTGTTTGAATTATGGGACTCCAGTGATCTCTGACCTAAAATGCTGCTATAAATTATTTCATATTTATCACTAGCGGCAGTTAAACCAAAAGACGTGCTATAAAAAAGAAAATGATCTTATTTTTATCGACATCGAATTTTTGGCATTTTTCTAGATAGGACAGAGCCTATTTTACGAAATATGAATCCTTGTCAAATGTTTCCAACAAAAACAGTATAAAGATTTTGTTTTTATACACAAGATAGAAAACAATAAAATTTGAGTGCACGCTCCATATTAACTAAGGGCAATATGAATATGCTCAATTCTTCCACCTAACTTTTTTAAAGATGTAAAATTGTACAGTTGCAGATAATAGGTAGCTATGTGTTATTCGCTCATTGTGTAAAGCTTCTACTGTAGTCCTTTCTTTTTACAATCAAGTAGTCTGTGCTTGTGGTTACTTATCGAGCAGGTTTTGTTCTGCTGGGGTAATGGTTTGCGCTGGTAAAGATATTTTCACGGTTTTTGCAGTCTGTAGTGGTGAAGGTCTCTGCCATCCTTGTTCTTTTGTCGTTTCTGGAAGTGGTTTTGGGGGCCATGGATTGCTGCTTATTGGTGAGATTTGGTTGAGATAGTTTTATCCGGTGTATATTTGGTCATCATGAACAGTTCATTAGCATTAGTGCATCTGGGTTATTCTTCAACTGATGTTAAATAGTGAAAACATTTCTGCTCCTCTAGTGATTCTTTAAATCTGTAAACTTTGGTGTGATGTGGATTGCGTTGCAGAACTTTGATGATGATGATCACAATTTTAATCCATTCTGTGGGAGGTGGCCCTGTTTGGTTTTTATATCTAATATCCTATGCTTTTACATGTGTTTTTGGAGCTTTAAGAAGGTTAGATTCTCTGTTGTGCTTGTGGTAGTTTTTTAAAGCCTCCTCTAAAGTCTGAGTGTACAGTAACTAATTTTTTTTTATAGTGTTAGTCATAATTTTTTTGGCAAGCCATAAAAATCAACAGATCTTACTCCTCACATTTAATTTTCAACTGTCGCATTAAGTTTTTTCCTGGGTGTTATATTAGTTGTAACCAACTAGGTTATCATTTAAGGTACTTCCCAATAAACCAATATTGTTGTTTTTGTGTTTTTGCTTATCATGCATGTCATCTACACTACAGTCGAACAAGTTGATTGTATTTTGTCATTTCATTTGATTACTTTGTTGTGAACTCTAACATATTTATAAATATATACATATACATTTGCAAAAATTATTCCATGTCAATTTTTAAGATAGAAAAAGTTTTTAGGACATTTACAAATGAAAAATCAATTGGATCTCCACGTTTTCAAGCACGTGGTGTAATTATAACCAACCGAAACTAAGTAGGACAGCTGGTGTAGTTTCTGGAAGTTGGTATGTAACATTTCCTATACTACTACTATACCTTAAATAGTTAATGCAGCCATATTTATAACAGATAGCAAATTTCTACGTGAAAATCAAACTTTAGTATGAAGGAGCGTAGTGCAGAATGCAAGTTTGAAATATTTCGAGATGATCTCATCTGTGACATAATAAAATGTGGAATTAATGATAACCGTCTTTGTGAACTTCTTCTTAGAGAACCAGAATCAGCACTACAGAAAACTGTACAAATTGGACATGCTGCTGAGAAAACGAAGAAACATACGAAAGAACTTCAAAAGGAAATTAAAAGGCAAAGAATATGTTAAAGTAAATGGTTTGAACCCGGGATTATCGTTACATGTTTGTAAATGTAGATCGTCCAGGTTGGTATAGTCCTGAGAAGGACTGTCTTTGTTGTTGTTAGCCGTATTTATTATCTGGTTCTTACGTCATTGTATTAAGTGTACAGGAAATGTGTATTGCCATTGTGAATTAGTGCTAACCTGACGTTTACTCCTCATTTGACTCTGAAGATGACTACCGCTAAGGTTGTCGAAACGTCAGTCAACAACAACAAAAACAGTCCTTCTTAGGACTATACCAACCTGGACGATCTACATTTACAAACATGTAACAATACTCCTGGGTTCAAACCATTTACTTTAAAAACAGTATAAAGATTTTGTTTTTATACACAAGATAGAAACAATAAAATTTGGTGTTCAATTAGCTGCTAATTTATCTGCTGGGCACCTTTTATTTGCTATATTAGCAAGTTTTGGATTCACAATGATTAGTAAAGATTTGTTAGTTTTAAGCTTAGCCCCAATATTAGTGATGGTTTTCATGACCTTACTAGAAATTGTTGTGGCTTCGATTCAAGCATATGTATTTTGTCTATTAACTGTTATTTACATCAATAATTCTTTAAACCTAGATTAACGCATGTACGTTATATTCTTTTAAATATTAGTAATAACACAATATGTATAGGCGAGTAAGTGATACGAATGGCACATATAGTGTTATGTTAGTTAGTCCTATGATTAAGAATAGGCGTACGATGACAATTAGTAGCCCCTATAGAGATCGATATGGCTGCAGGAAATATATTAAATAATATGAAAAGTTTATTTATAGTTTTCTCATTAGGAATAGTTGGAGCTAGTCTTATGGTTATATCTTCGTCCAATCCTGTTTATTCAGTATTCTGGTTAGTTATTGCTTCTGTTAATGCTGCTGTTATGTTTATATCGTTGGGATTAGACTATATAGGCTTAATATTTATAATTGTGAATGTGGGGACTATTGCTATTTTATTCCTGTTCGTCATTATGTTAATTCAACAGCCTAATAACGTAGACTGTCAAGATTACTCACATTTTTTACCTGTAGGATTATCTGTTATATTCCTATTTTATACTTCACTAACCAATATCCCTAAATAAATTAGCAATCCTGTTATAGGATCAAGAACTAACATTGGGGCAATTGGAAGTCATCTTTATACTACTTATTATGAATTAGTAATAATTGCTAGTTTGGTGCTACTAGTCGCTATGATAGGGGCTATATTATTAGCTAAACAGCCAAATTCACCTTTTTTATATAATTCCCACGAGGAATCATCTCGTAGTAGGCAAGATCTTTTCCTACAAATCAGCAGAAGCACCTTCAGGTGCTGTCAGGTGCTGTCTGCCGTCTCCGCTTAGGAATATGGAGAGGAACATGGAATTCAAAGGAATACTAATACTATTTATCTTTAGTGGGACATTATAAATTGTAGTTTTAGGGGCATCTTATCTATTAGGATATAAACAAGCCGACATGGAAAAAGTGTCAGTTTATGAATATGGATTTGACCCTTTTGATAATCCGGGAAATGCCTTCTCCGTTAGATTTTTCTTAATTGGTATCTTGTTCTTAATATTTGATCTAGAGATATCTTTTTTATTTCCTTGGGCTGTTACATATATGGGTTTACCTTTATTTGGATATTGGGTTGTTATGTTATTTTTATTTATCTTAACTTTAGGGTTAATTTATGAATGGATAGAAGGAGGTTTAGAGTGGGAAAACTAGCTTCTAATTAGTATTGGCGCATGAATTATTTAGTGTTATCAATTATCATCTTATTAATCGGAATATTAGGTATTATTCTTAATAGAAGTAATTTAATTATTATGTTAATGTGTGTAGAACTAGTTTTACTGGCTTCTACTATTTTACTTCTATTTGAATCTCGTGTGCTCTATACGCTTTTGGTCAAATTTTGCGATTGTAATTTTAACTGTTGCAGCTGCAGAATCTGCCATTGGTTTAGCTATTATGGTTAACTATTATCGTTTACGTGGTACAATTGCTGTTCGAGCCTTAAATTTATTGAGAGGTTAACCCTAAATTAAAATGAATCAGATACCTATGCAATATTTTAACTTAGCAGAGGAGAATTATTCTAAGTATGGATTATCAGTCATCCAGCTTATTCAAATTGGTAAGTTCTATGAACTTTGGCATGAGCCTGACACCCCTAGTAGGCAACAAGCATACTCTCAAGCCGAGTTATTAATTGAGTCCTCCATGCGGAGTAAGCCTTTAGAGGTGATGCCTTCTATTGAACAAGTTGCCTCTTTACTTGATATGAAAATCATTAGAAGATCTTTACTTCAAATGGGGTTTCCAACTTATTCCTTACTACTCATTTAAGTACTTTATTGAATAAGGGTTGGACTGTTATAGTTATTGATGAATTAGTTACTGGTAAATCGGGGCCAAAACAACGTGCAGTATCTCAGGTTTATTCTCCTAGTTGTAACTTAGAGGATTGTTCGGAATTACCATATGTATTATCAATCTATTTTTCTCAGGACGACTTATTGGGTATTACTTTATTTTCAGCCATGAATGGTCATAGTATAATGTTTCCTGTCTCTTGGATGGACAGAGATAAAGTAGTTCGGTTATTAATTAATTATCGTATTAGAGAAATAGTAATTTGGGCAAATTCAGATGGTGATTCAGAAATTTTAATAAATAAAATATATAATTTATTAATTGGTTGGAATTTATTTCCCTCTGAACCCAATGTTAAAATTGAAGTTATGGGAGAAGCGCCAATCAATTTCCCATGTTATTTTTCTTTTAGGTACGAAAATGATAATAAGGAGTGGCTTTTGTTACATATATTTTTGGGTATTAACGCAGAGTGGTTTAACAAAAATTATCAAGAATATACTCTTAGTAAGATATTTCAAAGTACTTGGACAGAAGATGTTAATCAGGTAAATATAATTAGCCTTTTAGGAGCATTACAATTTATTAAAGATCGAAATCCCAATCTTATTAAGAACTTACAACTTCCCGAGTGTTACAATTCTGTTATTAGTCCTTTAAACTTAATATTGTGTAATCAAGCAGAATATCAATTAGATTTATTGCCTAAGGGGAAAAAACTAGGTGGTCTACTTAGTTTAGTTGATTATTGTTCTACTGCAATGGGTAAAAGACTACTAAAATTCAGACTTCTTAATCCTATTACAGATTATTCTGAATTAAATTTTCGTTATGAAGATATTGCTACATTT